GGACGCAACTAATCTTGAATTTTAAATATCATATTTTCTTTTCAAGTATGCTCCTAGGTGTGACACTCCCTTTGAACGAAACCATAAATCTGTGAAATGCTTTCTTAAACAATTAAATAATTGAGGTTGGGATTACGACTAATGCTAATTAGCCTGGGCCAGTACCAAGGTGGGACCACGGTCAGAACCAAACTGCTCTTTCATTGACGAACGTGCTTTAAGCGGTAGTTTTCGATGCTCCTTTCGGATTTCTTGACCACAGCAACGTCAGCAGACACCTTATTTGGACTTCTTGCAGGTCAGCGGAGGTCACTGACCTAAAATAACCCATATCAGCCGTTTCTTCCGACCGGTGCGGCGCAACTGATCCAACCGTTGTGATCTGAAAGGAACAGCAGTGAAATGTTGCTTAGAGGATATGCCTAGGGTTAAGGCAGCTGCATGAGCAGGCCTTCAGGTACTTTCGATACCGGTCTGGAGTTAGACTTTATTTAGTCCAAACGTCAGCAGGTAATTTGACCAATTCTATCTCAAAATTTAACACCAGGAAGTTTATACACAAGCCTTTCCACCTTGTGAGTCTAGGCGCTTCTGGTTTTCTTGTTTGGTTTTATCTTAAGGGTCATGTTGACCCATCATCTTCCCTACCGAGCGCGTCGCAATCAGCCGGCCACCTGCGCGTTTGTCAACTTGTTGCGCGTCTGAGGTGCGCTAAATGTCCATGAAAAGGATGTATCCTATGTTTTGTAAGACATCTTAATTTCATGTGGGCGAGTTCTCCCTCAGCGTTACAAAATAGTAACAAAGCAACCTACAAAGTAAGTTTCACTGACATGCGTACGATTGCGCAAACTATATGATAACATTTTTTTGCTGCACATAACAATGTTCTTCTTCTTTGCGATCTGAAAGCTTCGTTTAAACCTGAATCTATGAATTCCCTGGAAATCGTAAAAAAATGCAGCTAAACATTTTACAATATAATGACCACAGAATTCAAGATGAAACCAAAACTTTCCTGTATTTTTGCCGCAAAAAGTGTAGGGGAAGTGCAGGCGTCAAGACATATCAGAACAACAGCAACCTTTTTACTAATGAGAGCCGACATTTATCCGAGTTAAGCTGTTTGTGGCCGATATCTAGGCCTCAGATGACATCTTTGAGAAAAAGTTAGTGATGTGGCAGTCAAACATCGTTGCCCTTCTATAAACTCGTTGGCTGCATCGCGCAGAATGCTAGCAAAAGAGCTGTATTGCTGCGAAGACATACCAATCGTCGTAGCCGGAGCCCAACTTTGGGAGAGCTGAGCTCGACTAAAGTTATACTGACCACATTCGTGATGTGGCGAGATGCGTAGTGGAGGGCTCGCCCTCGAGAGCAAGCGTTCGTATATGGGTGGCCGAAGAGGACCATTTGGCTGCTGACTTGACGGCGTCAGTCTGATCAGGGGCTGCAGCCGTGCTAGTGCACGGCTATTCCGATGCTATTCCGATGAGGCCCCGAGGCAGAGTGTGCCCGTTAAACCTTCATTACAATATACGTCATGCAATAATAGATGGTGGTTCGGGGTGTTAGCAATAAATCATTTTTAGTACAGAATCCGATTCAAACTTCGTCCCAACGAAATTTGTGTTTTCTGCTCTTTGTATTGTATATCCCATTTAATAGCTGAACCGATATTCTGAAGTAATGGTGCCACTCCAAAAATAGCATTATGTTGTCCGATTTCATTTTCTCATGAGATTATACCGCAAAGTAAGTTGGGTTCTAAGTAAAACGATGCCAGGTTCTTGGCTTTCCAAGGGTAGCGGACAAAATGACGCTCAGCATACAAATGTCCACGAAACCAATGAATCTGTGGCGTTAGTACCGTGTTTTGGTTGCGGAAATAAGTGCCTGGGGTTATGTTTGGTGGCGAAAGACGTCTTATGTAAAATGGTTCAGCCCCCATTATCCAAAGTTACCCATCATTTAAATTAATAATTTTGAGGTTGAGGGGATCAAGTTGCCCCACTGCATCTTCCATGTCGACACCACCACGCAAAAAGATCAATTAAATTAGTCAGTGTGTGATGGTTATCTTTTCACTACGCTTTTTTGCATTACAGCCAAAAAAAAAAATCGGGGAGCCAAACCAACATTGGGAGAAGGGCCCAACTCAACATGGAGGGGGGGGGGGGGGGCTGGGGCACGGCACTCACAAAAGAATACAAATCGAAAGCCGTAACATAGACTCCAGTTGGACTTAATGGGCCCAACTGGAATAGGGTTGCGTGGCCCACCGTTCGGTACTGGGGGCCCTGATTGGCACAGGACCCTTCTATTACCTGAGCATGAGCACTCATCATAACTTGTCAGGTTTCTTTTTATTGTCAAAAGGCCCCAACCAACGCGAGAGGCCCTCTGCCATTCGGGCTCCCGTCTCCATCCTTGTTGAGCAAATCTTCCCTTGACCGACTCGAGGCCCCTTGTTGACACAGAACGCCTGTAAGGCACTGCGTGCCCCTGAACGATACAGGAGCCCCACCAATGTAAATCACGGGCCCGGCCTTGTACTTGCTTGGGAAATGGGCCACCGGAGCTCAGATCAACATGGGGACAACCGCTCATTGTTCGTGATCTGTGGCCGAAATAGGGGAACACTCTGTCTCAGGAGTCCCTACCGGTCATCAAGAGATCGTCATACTGAGGCCATCAAGAGGTCATCAAGAGATCATCTTGCTGACATTTGAGATCACGGCCCTATGGGCGGGGGTCCTTAATGTCACCTGCAACCAGCCCTTCGGACCCTTAGCCATACCATCGGACCCTTGATCTTTGGTTTCAAGAGACCCTTCGGCCCCCGTTCGGGCCCCATCAATTATCACTCCGTCTCGGGACCATTTGCCGCCACAGGACCCCCTTTTCGGCACTGTGACTCTTAACCGACACATGAGCTCCTCATCGTGTCATATACCCAGAACATTGCAAATCGCGGACTCCAGCCTCGTTTCTGCTTGGCAAATGAGTCTTAAGGGCTGAGACGGACATGGAGACGACTGTTCGATACTCGTGGTCGACTGACTTACGCACCCGCATTGTCTCAGGGGTTCCTCAAACGATGCAAGAGGACCTTTGACTGATATTTCAGGTCACGACCCTACGGGCCGCGCTTCTTTATGTGACCTAAAGCCAGTCCTTCGAGCCCCTGTGCCCTCCAACCGGCCTTTGATCGTCGGTTCCGGTGGGCCGTCCGAACCCCTCTTCGGGTCTCATCGAACACTTCGCTTGATCGGCTCGAGGCCCTTGCTAGCACAGCGCCCTCTGTTAAGCGTTGTGGGCCTCTCATAGATACAAAGCCCCCTACCAACGTAAACCACTGGCCCCAGCTTTAAAGTTGATTAGGAAGTGAGTCCCCAGGCCCATACCGACACGACTATTTGGTGCGGCGGTACCTGACCTGTGGTGGTGGTGGCGGGGGGGGGGGGGGGGGCGAGCAATATGAATCGCTGGCTCCGGCTTTGTCCTTGCTTGGGAAATGGGCCCCCAGGCCCACGTCACCACGGGGCCGACTGTGCGTTACTGGTAGTGTCTGACCGAAATATAGGCTTTTGTCGACTCAGTGGGCCCATGATCAGCGCGCAGGACCCTCTGGCTAGCATTGGAGTGCCCGGCCCTGCGGGCCGGGCCCCTCAATGGGACCTCCAACTGGCATTTTGGGGCCCTTTGCGTCCTCGAGTCGGGCTCTCAAGTCGGGCCCTTAATCGTAGGTTCCGAAGGGACCTTTTGGGCCCTTCGGAATCTAAGGGGCGGCACGTGGCCCCCCGTACCCCTCCCTTGCCTGCACTACTGCTCGTGTACAAACCAAATAAAGATTCTGAAAAAAAATTGTCTGAGTTCCACAGGCTTAGAAAGAGCATACTGGACCAATATGCAATAAAGACCGTTGGTGATCTGTTTCATGCAATCCTATAACGCACGATTTCTTCACTTGATTGACTATAAAATTGAGGCACAACTTGATGTCTCGGCAACTTCTGGCCTCTTTTCCAGTTATTGAAGGTGACAATTTAAAAAAGCGCAGAAAAACACATCCTCATGAACAAATGCGCCATCTTCGGCGGCCTTTTTTGGAAGGGAGCTTTTAGTATCAGAGGTCCATTTATCAACCCTGTGTCCTTCCCTTGCCAAGACTATGGTTGCGCGCCTGGTCCCAACTCGGAAGCCACTCTACCGATCTACCCGCAACCTTCACCAGAAGAAAGAGTACTGCAAGTTGCACCACGACACCACGTAAATCCCGCTGGCGGCATCACACGTTGTATGGTCGCGCGATGTTGGTCCATCAACACCGACCACACGCAGCGTAATAGAAACGTATCGCACCAGGAGCGGACGACAGCAAAGAATCCACACGTCTCAGTGAGTAGTTTGAGCAGAATTGCCGCATCCTTCCATAACAAGGATGCAACAATTGGTCAAGGGAGAAGGCAGCAGAACCCATCAGCTCACCCGAGACCGCTCAATCGAGTCTGTCGGCACCGGACAACTCCCGCTACCGCCGGTGCACCAGCCGCGACCGTCGGAGCTCAAACTCCCGTCACTGAGGTGCCAGACATCCCCAGCAGCGCAGCAGTCCCACAGCTAACGAGTGAATCGGCGCCAGCGATCCACGCTCAGCCGGCGGGACGCCAGACCAAGGCAGCGGGAAGCCACGACTCGTCGGCAGGAATTACGTATGGCAGTTATGCCCCAGATATCATTGTATAACCCTCTTGCAAGCCATTGGAAATACTGACAGGAATGCTGTAACCTTGTTTCACGCTTAAGGCAATCTTTGAAACACTTAAAACCTGCTCTGAATGTGATATTTCTACCACAATAAGGTACGGAGCCGGCGACACAGCGGCGTTCGAGTTCGAAGACTCCAGTGACGTCATCAACCTGTGCTAAGCCCGCTCTCGATCTCACCAATTGGAAATGCCTTGATGACACTCTCTGAATCCAACATTGATCGTCAATGTGGCGTGCCAAATTGTGGATGAGTGTTGAGCGTTAGCTTTGATTTCGTTTGCAGCGATTACATGGCTGGTATTGGACTGTATCGGATGATGGTGAGAATCTACCGTACCTTTCCTGGTATGAACGTGCGTTTCCGGGTGTGAGCAGGTGAATGAGTCATGAACGCGTGATGTCCGAGGCCTTTACGTGCCGAGTGACATGTATTTGTATTAACGCACATGCGATCACTTAAGTTGCTCAATACATTCACAATAGGCCATAAGTACCAAATTCATCTTCCAACTTGTGTGATGTAGAATTTAGCATTATCTTCATGTGTCAATTGGCCGGGGAAAAGCAGGCGAGCACAACAGGTGTCAGGTGAGGCTGCAAAATAATATGCTACATGAAACATCAGCATTGGCAGATGTGTGGCACAGAGACACAATACATCATGGTCAATAAAAATTTCAGCTCATGCATGTGCCTTATATGCCTCTTGCAGCTCCAGCTTGCTTCAAGGATGGCACACAGTGTCCCAAATTTACAGCATAGAGAACAAATATTTTAAGGAATTGTTATATGATGCTGAGAAGCTAAAGAAAATCTTACACAAAATTCCCCTATTGCACTTATTTAGGGTGAAAAATCTTACACAAACATTCCCTAAAACACTTACTTAGGTGCATGCAAGTATAAGTTTCAGTGCACCCATAATACTTAGACAGCTGCTGGCATGGTGAATGGATCTTTTTGCAGGCTGGTTGTCAGGCAGGTAGCCAAAACATGATGTTTGGCTAGAGGGAGCATTCCATGTTAGCATGTTTTATGTTGAAACAGCCATATTGAAGATCATTTGGTGCAGTTCACAGCCCTGCTTTTCCTTTAGGCCAAAACCTCTTATTTCTGAGCTAGATGCCCTTAAAAAGTGCAGATTATTTTGTCCAAACTTAAGTGTTACCCAGGCATCCACCTGATCACACCATAATAATGTTCAAATCCTGCCACCCCACTAGCCATGCTGCAGCATTCATGGTTCATGGTAAAAAAAGGATGGATGAGTCATTCACATGTGGGGTTCCAGGATGAATTCCTGCTATAACAACTGTAACAGGTGTAACAGCCAATAGCACAGCAAGGGTAGCTGTAGGAGTCAGGGGCCTCTCAGGATATGACTGGTGCCTCACTCCATGGACAGGACATGTGGGACATCATTGTGCCCATTCCACCTGCTGGTAGTCCAGCTAGCTGAAAGGGTCCCAGATGATGTCCAAGGGTTCACAAATGGGTTAACTATGGCCATGTACAGTGTTGGGAGCATGCAATTGTCAGCACTGCATGCAAGTGTTGTGCAAGCTCTGTGAGATGCCAACACAAGTTACATGTTGTGCCACACAATACAAAAAGCCATGCATTCTTCCTTCTTGTTACAGAAATATAGCTGTAACAACATAACTGATAAATGGTGAACTAAGTATGTGAATACAAGTAAGGATCCTGAACTCACAGAAGTATGTAAGAACACCACAAAAAATCGGCCAGTACACAAGTGCATAACAATATTTGGTTCAGCACACATCCAACATTGCTATGGGGCTCCTATCAGGAGATTGAAGAATCACAAGGGATTGCTTTCATGCAGGTGTTCTATAACACAATTAAACAATGATATTTTGAGGAGCATATTTATGAAATAAAAAATTATATTGTTTAGAGCAGTCTTTTCCACTGGAAAGTATACCAATAATTATAAGCAAGCTTATTTTGGCATATCTGGTGCTTGCATCAGCATCTTCAAATGTGGAACATTCCCTTTACCCATTTGTTGAAACAAGAATTATTATATGAGCAAGGTTTTGCCATATGATTTTCAATGCTAGCAGATGAAAAATGTATATAAAACTAAAGCATTTGTATGCAGATCAAGGTAGTCAAAGTTGGAAGGTGTATTAAACAATTGCTAAAGATGTTTAAATATATACTATGGCATGTGGGGAATTGTGTACATAGTGAAGCCAGTTCAAAAACATGGTATTTACCCTTTTGAATGATAGATTAGTTAATTACACAGCAAGAAATTGAATGACATTGTAATGTCATATGTGGCATATCTATTGTATTATGCAGGTAATCAATATAGTATCATATAACATTAACCATTTTATATAACAGTGCTGTTGCTAACACACAACAGCTTGTGAAATGTGAGCATAAACATGTGTGTCATTTTTACTCACCCAAATATTTGAGAGGAAGTGGTACTTGGTTTGATATACTGCATGCATTTAGGGCTGTTTTGTCAAATGATTGACTATTAGTTGCTACACATAGATAACTTCATTGAATGAAACAAATAATGTACACATGCACACAATATCTACAACTGCAGTACTTTTGCAGCCATGCCAAGTTGACTGCTTTGTAGCATAACAAGCTCAGCTCTTCTTTGTTCCTGCAACATTATGCCACATGGCCTTGCAGGTATGCAACATTTTGTTTGTTGCATTGTTGCAATACAATTGTGACAGCGTTGTCACAGGAGTGTAAATTGCCTTTCAGTTAGGGGGGCTTCAGCCCCCCTCAACTTGGGCTCCAGTCTCCAAACTTTGCGAGGGAAGTGTGTCAAAGCTGAGGAAGACCTGTTTACTAGCATATTTTGGGAGTGGATTAGGCCACTTCTGACTGTTGAGCCATCCCAACTCATTTTGTGGAACTATGCCCCTGCTGTGTCATCTTCAGATAAGGTGCATGTTATGTTGTGTAGCAGCAGCCTACCACCAAAATGACTTTACTGAGGTTGCATTTGTGGATTTCAGGTTTGATCTGTTGTCCTTCTACATAACTCAAGAAATGGACCAGAATGGGTAAGTGGGCTGTACAGATACATTTGTCAACATTCTTGAGTGTGGAGAGTTAATGAATCATTTCAAATATAACCCCAAATTAGAGGGAGTTTCACATTTGTATGGGGTTTTGAGCTGAAATGGTCATTTTGAAGATTATTTGGTGCTGTCCTCAGGCCTGGCCTTCTTAAGGCCTCAAATATTTAGTTTCTGAGCTACACATCCAAAAAACTGTGCAGACTAGTTCAAAGTCACTCAGGCATGCATGATACCATAGCAACGCCGTTAAAATCCTGCCGCCCCTTAGGCCAAGCAGTACCGGAGGCCAGAAATAATATTGGCTAGCCTTTCCAATAGAGCACAAATTCCAACTTAAGTGGATGTCAACTCTCAGACAAGATTGAGCGAGCTTAAATCACGAATCAGGTTTTGTGCGACATCATAAAAAAGTTGGACTTGGGTTCGCCACTTATTAGTTATTGTGGAAATGATACTTGTGATGAAATAACTTAACAATAATGTCATAACCAAGCATGCAAATGCAAGTAAACATCTTAAATTCACGGATAGATATGTAAGAACACCACGAGTAGGGGTCATAACCCGAGCTCATAGCGATACATGTCTCAATGAACACTTCCAACCCGTGTTGCCAACTCTCAACAAGTTTGAATTACTACAAGTAAGTGGCAGTTTTGCACGTCTGAGTTGTCAGCGCCTCAAGGCCATGCAAACGGTCCGTGAGAAAGTCAAACAATGACATATTTAACATCACGTTTTCTAAAAATAGAAGTTTTGGTGTCTAGAACAAGTGTCACATGACAGCATATGTGGCTGCAAGCATAATAATAAATTTTACCAGTACGAAATGTGTGGTGACTTTTTCAGCAACAAATGCTATTTAATGCTTCAAATGACAATTAAAGCTCAGCAGTGCTCATCATAAGTGCAACAAAGTGGTCACCTCAGAGCTTGGACTTAGAACTAGGCCACCCAGTCCATATCCCTGCACTGCCCACCTTGGTCAGGGGTCTTTTGACAGCTTAACACAACTCACACATACACACGCACGCGTACACGCATACACGCATACGCACACGCACATGCACATGCACATGCACACACACACGCACACACACACGCACACGCACACGCACACACTGAGAGCTGTTGGACAACCTGTACCGGCTCCTCTATCACGGGATAGCACCATCGTAAAGCTCCTCAGAGCCGGTCGGTGTTTCCTCCCGGAGCACCAGCTGACCCCATGTTCCTCTCATGGCTCCGTGACGGCGTGCGGCGGCAGGGGCGGCAACAGTGCCGGCAGCGTGTACGGTCGGCTGGGCGGCCCGTACGACCGCTGGGTGGAGCCGACAGACCGGTCGGCGCTGGGCCGCGTACAGCAGCAGTACTGGACCACCAAGCAGACGCTGCTGCGTAAGCTGGGCAAAAAGGAGGACGAGTACGTGGTGGCTTCCGACTCGGAGCTGGATGCCAAGCTCGAGCTGTACGGCAGCGTGGACGAGACGTGCCTCGACCTGGACCGTATCCTCGGCTTCTACCAGGACCAGTTGTGCGGTACGTGACGGCCGCCCCTCTCTCTGGGCGGGGTTCGCCGGTCCTGCGGCTCACTCAGGCTGGCGATGCCTTCAGTCTTGGTTGGGTTGCGTTTCTGTTATATGTGGATAAATGCTCCTGCCGCAGCGCGAGGCCGTTATTCTGAAGGCCCTGCCCTATCACTGAAGGGTACTCTGGGAAGAACGTTTGAGTACCCAGAAGGGTGGCTAGGTACTCAAATGGCATGCACGTGCATCTATTCGGTACTGGGCATCTATTCTGCCCATTCTATTCTGAGAATCTAAGTTGTCCAACATGTTCTGGGAATCCATTCTGTCCATTCTGTTTTGAGAATTAAGTTCGTTTATTCTGGTCTGAAAATCGTTGTTGTCCATTTTCTTCTAGGAATTCATTGTCTGTTCTGTTTTGGGAATATTTTCTGTCTTTCTTTTCCAAAAAAGATGCATGTACGTCATGTTCAATTCTCTCACCGTTTTGTTCGTTCCGTTCCGCGTCCGATGTACGTTGCATGCAGAGGGGCTGTTTGCGCCGGGTCTGACAGTATGTGTCGAGAGCTGCCCGGCTGTGCTGTGATGGCCCTCCTGGAACTGAGAACGGACGCTCCGCCCCCTCCGACAGTGCTCTCCCAGGAGGAGAACAGCCTGGGCCGCTTCCTTAAGGAGCAGGGCAAGGAGGACAAGACGCGCGCCGGCAAGATGATGGTGGCCGTGGGCAAGACCATGTCGTACACGGCGCAGCAGCGGCTGGCGCTCCGCTCGCCGCTGCTGCGGCTGCATCAGGTGAGCCTGCCGACCGCGCGGCGCTGCTGCGGCTGCATCAGGTGAGCCTGCCGACCGCACGGCGTCGCTGCGGCCGCACCAGGTGAGCCTGCCGACCGTGCGGCGCTGCTGCGGCCGCACCAGGTGAGCCTGCCGACCGCGCGGCGCTGCTGCGGCCGCACCAGGTGAGCCTGCCAACCGCGTGGCGCTGCTGCGGCCGCACCAGGTGAGCCTGCCGACCGCGCGGCGCTGCTGCGGCCGCACCAGGTGAGCCTGCCGACCGCACGGCGCTGCTGCGGCCGCACCAGGTGAGCCTGCCGACCGCGTGGCGCTGCTGCGGTCCGCACCAGGTGAGCCTGCCGACCGCGCGGCGCTGCTGCGGCCGCACCAGGTGAGCCTGCCGACCGCGTGGCGCTGCTGCGGCCGCACCAGGTGAGCCTGCCGACCGTGCGGCGCTGCTGCGGCCGCACCAGGTGAGCCTGCCGACCGTGCGGCGCTGCTGCGGCCGCACCAGGTGAGCCTGCCGACCGCGCGGCGTCGCTGCGGCCGCACCAGGTGAGCCTGCCGACCGCGCGGCGCTGGCCAGCGGCGCTCCGAAGCCAGTTTCTGTACGCAGGGAGGGGTGTTGTGTTGTGAGCTCGGCGGGATGGGCCGGAAATCGGCAGGCTGTCAGCCCATCAGCCGCGGTCATGTCACGTGTCGGCCCCGATCTCATATGTCAGCATCGATCATGTCATGTGTCAGCCCAATCGTGTCTTGTGTCAGTCCCGATCATGTAATTTGTCAGCCCCAATCCCTTATTCTGGGCCCGGGAGTTCGAATGCACCGCCCACTCTTGCAACTTACGGAACCCGAATATATAATGTGTGCTGTCAAAACCCGGTTGTTTGGACCGTAAGCCATCACGTGGTTGCAAATATTGCATCTCGCCGATTCTAAGACCCGCAGCCCAACAAAGCCATGGTGCATACTTTCCAAGTTCTTCAAAACTGACGTGGTTTTATGGGCGTTGAAGGTGATCGTGGAAGGAAAAGTAGAAATTTGCCGTATTTGTCTGATTCTGGGCTGTTCTTGGCTGTAGTCATGGCGGCTTGGTGTCCAGGCAAACTACAGCAAGCTCGCGGACATTTGGGTATAGCTGGGGAGTTCATGTCTGGTGTTTTATGCTAGGGAGAAACACCACAAGACATCACCAAGCTCGTCGCTTTCGGTCCAGGTCCATAAAGGACGCGATGGTCCGCCTTTCTTGCAAGCTTACACAGTCTTTATTTCGCGGCCGCCGAGCTCGGTTGGCGAACGTAGAGAAACTTAATAGAACGTCATATTTCTCACTGCCAGTGAGCTCGCGTAAAGCATAGCCCTTGCGTGAGAAATTGTGTTTGTTTGATGCCAAAGACGTGTTTTGAATGTTTCGTGATCCTCATCCGACCGAAGCACTTTGCTTAGTCGTTTGGGCCGCTGTTGTGTGGTGCTAATAGTTTTCACATGGCTATTCATTTGGATTGATGATGCGGACACTAGCGTTTCAGACCGCGCGATTGTGCCGTCGCCGATGCCATTGTCTCGGAAGGTGCTGCGATCGGCCCCGACCGCCTCGTTCGTCGACAGGAGGTGGAGACGTTCCACAACCGGGCCGTCAAGGACACGGCGATGACGGTGCGCAGCATGGAGAAGGTGCGCACCGAGTACCGCGGCACGCTCATGTGGATGAAGGATATCTCGCAGGAGCTCGACCCGGACACCTACAAACAGCTGGAGAAGTTCAGAAAGGTGTGTTGCCCCGGCCACGGGCGCCAGGAAGCACGCGAGCGGGAGAAAGTGAGCGGTGTCTGTTACCAGTGCTCGCTCCCATAGATAAGACAGTAGTGCTAGCATTATTCCTCGGAGAAAAACCAGGAGAATGAAGACAGATGGGTAGATATTTCGGTAACATGCTTTTATCGAAACAGTAGCACTTCTGGTTTTGTTTCGATAAAGTCATGTTACCGAAGTGCCAACGCATCTTTATCTCCATTCTGCTGGTTTACCCCGAGAAATGAGGCTTTTACTACTATCTTATTCACGTGAATAACGCTCCTCGCAAATGCACTGAATAACTCGTACTAACTCGTAATTTTGAGCCGAATAGTGGTCGTCAGAAAGCGCTAGCTAAAAATTTCATGAGCCCAGAAAAACAGTGCGCGTTCCAGTGGATCGAAACACAACATTTTGGTGTAGCTGTACTACCGCATGATGAACACACCACCTGTTGACGCAGACATTTGTGCAGGCAGGATCGTAGCATTTATAGTTAGGTGCTAGATTGCAATGCCTACAATTGCAAATGCTCCACCAGGTCCAGATGCAGGTGAAAAAGAACAAGCAGCGTTTTGACAAGCTGAAGGTGGACTGTCTGCAGAAGATCGACCTGCTGGCCGCGTCGCGGTGTAACATGTTCTCGCACGCGCTGGTGCTCTACCAGGACGCACTGCTCCAGTTCTGGGAGAAGACGGCCCGCACCATGAACCACGTGTCGGACAGCTTCAGAGGTGCCCGGCCTTAGTCGTGTTTTCTGTGCAGCACGAGTTGTGTCTCCCTGGGTTGGTTTGACGTCATTTGACGTCTCAGCAGTGAGGCTACAAGTGTGGTGTGGTTCCCTTACGGCGGGAGGGGGGGGGGGGGGGGGGCGGATTACGGTTAACAGAGTCACACGAGGCTCGCAGCGAGCGACGCCACGCGAAACTTAATGCCCGTTCGGACGACTCGCTGTCGCCAGGGTACCAGTACTACGAGTTCTCCGTGGTGAAGGAGCTGTGCGAGCCGTCCCGGCTGCTGGCCGACCAGGCGTCGGCGGCTCGCACGGCCGCCACCCAGCCGGCCCCGGCAGCGGCAGTCTCCGCACCGCCCGACCAGCAGACGGACAAGTGAGTGCAGGCCGAGGCCGCGGCCGACGGACAGTCTCACCCACTTGACATGCTGACACAATTGGTATCAGCCTGACATTGGCGACAGACCGACACACATGGCGACAGACTGACAGACCTGGCGATGGGCCGACACGTGCGGCGACAGACTGACACGTTTGGCAGCAGCCGGGTACATCTGCTGACAGGCTGGCTCACCAAGGAACAAGTACGGTTGTCGATTTACGGCCGACTGTTGTCATTGGGGCGCAAGCCTGTGGTGTCCCTAAAAACAGCGCGGAACACAATACGCAAAGTCTGTTGTTTTTATGTCGGGGACGATAACCGTGTTTGTATTTTTCAATCTGCTGTTTTGTTGTTGGGGCAACAGTTTTCGTAGCTGTCATTTAAGTTGCGTACCTCGCACTCTTGTATTGTTTTCACCAAGACCGTAATGTTCTTTATGTTTCAGGCCTCCCGATCGTGCGAGACCGCATTGTTTTAGTTGGTTTGGTATGTTTATTCGATTTATTCGCCATCCTGCGTATACGCCGCCCCGCACGTCCTCCTAACCACCGACCTCTTGGCCTGCACCAGCAGTGGGATAGGCACTAACTGGCCACCACCAACACTAGCAACGTCCGCTGTCGGAATGGCGCTTGGTTATTGGCCTGTTCAGACATGCAGCCGGCGTTAAGCACGTGTACTAACCCCAGAGGCATCCTCCAGAGGCGAGCGAGGTCATGCTCGTAGGACACCCACTGGTCCGGCAGGCGGTGCCTTATCCGCTGATGACGAGGCCAGCTTGCTTCATCTCCCAATGCGTGATGGTTCGGTATTCCTGCATGAGAGCCGCGTGTGACCCGCGCATTGACATTATCCATGTTTTGCTCTTCATGGAAGACGACTGATGTGCGTGAGTTCTCCAGATGTGCGTGGTGAACTTCTTTGCACTGACAGCTCGTGTTCAAAGTGATGTTGCCATTGAATGCGATAATTTCTACACCCGACGTTCACCTCTGACACGTAGCCAATGTGAATTTTGCTGGTTGTAGCCATCTGCTGCGTCAATGATAGCCTTCCAAATAGCGTCATGCGCCGTGTCGCCTGGTGTGAATGGCGCATGTCTGCGGTGGCTGGGAGGTCACGGGCGAGCGGGGTCATCGGTCAGCATCCGTTTCTATGTATTTATATTCGGTTGGAGTCGTATCTCATGGGCACGTAATGACTTGAAATCGGGACTAGAACGCATGCGTCGGCGTCTGGTCATGAGGTCCGGACGCCGCGGGTCGGAGCACCGACGCCACGTGTCCACGTGCCAGGGATGTCTCCTCCCGCAGGCTGATCTCCTTCGAGAGCGAGGAGACGGAAGAGCCGAGCCAGGCGACCGCCGCCGGCCCTCGTGCCGTCATCGGCGGCCGTGACGTCACCTGCCGATGTGGCGTCACCGGGTGACGTGGCGCTGCTGGAGCTGGGTGAGGTGACGCACCCGGAGCCGGCGCCACCCCAGGGTGAGTGGCGCGCCGCCGGCCGAGCGCCAGCGCTCCGTGGGGTTGCTGGATGGGCAGTGCGCAGCGGGGATCGCGGCAAAGCTGAGATGTGCCAACGAAACGCTCGTTGCAACGCTGGCGACATGTCTCACTCCGAAACTGTGCCCAAGTCTCAGTTAGTCGTGATGTGCCGGCATAACTATCGTTGATTCCTGGAGGCGCTCTGCTTCTTTGGCGTTGATAGTGAAATGTGTTTAGGTCAGTGCTTCAATGATTGGCCTATTGGGTGCCAAGAATGTCGTTATTTTTCGTGCTTTTACACCCCCGGCTTAGGGTTCACTGTCTGTTGCTCCTCCTCTTGCTCAAAATAAGTCAATCAGTATCGAACCGTTCTGCGGTCAACCCAGCATCCAAGCGCCCCTCAGGCTGGACAAGTTGACTGGGCTGGTCCGATGGGTGGATTCGGGGTCAAAGGTCAACGGTTAAGCGGGAACGAAGCATGTGCGAAGGCCGCCGGAAAGCCATGATTCTGGTAAGGTGAATTTGTATTTACGTCCTGGCACCCTATTGGATGCATTTTAGAACACTGATTTAGGTGGGCCGTGTTGAGACAGACGGCATCTTCCGTCCGTTTTCGGTGCAGACCCATGTAGACGTTCCGCGCCCGCCTCAAAGTCCCGCGTTTACGGCAGGGGAGGTTAACCTGCTGAGCCAGCACCCGGGTATACCGGAGCTAGAGAAGGACGACCAGGCGCTGCTGGAGGAGATCCTGTCGGCGCCGACGGCGGCGGCGGCGGCCGCCCAGCCGGGACCGTGGCACGCCGCCGAGGCCGGCCTCACCCCGCTGGCGCTGCAGGTACTGCCGGCGGCATCGACCAGCTGCCACGCCGACCAGGTGTCAGCGCCAGGCGCAGCGGAGGGCGCCGCCCGCCCGTGTTTTGAGCGGACTCGAGCTGGTGGCTGGCGGCTGGTCTGAGCGCTTCCGTGGCCGGCTGTGGGTGTGTTGACGCGCCCCCTGTCTGTGTGCACTACTCTTGCCGATTGTCTGGGGGACGAGGCCTGCGTGCCTGACTGACCCTGTGTCCCTCCGTCGCGCAGGACGTCTTCGGTGACCTGACTCTGAGCGGCGGTGCCGCAGCGGCCGGCGCCGGGCCCGCCCAGCCGTCCGCCTTCATGCCCTCCCAGTTGTTCGGATCAGGTACGGCCGACCGCCGGTCGGCGGTGGGAACGACTGACGGTCCTTACTGGACTAAAGGGAATCTGATAAAATATCACTGAACTATGCCTGGTAGTTACACGTGTCACCTGCTCCTTATCCTATATCGTGCCGCTCGCCTTTTCACGTGATGGATTGGGTGCTGGCGCTTCATGTATCATTCTGCTAGTCTTTACCTCCACCTGGCGTCACCTGTAGGAGCTCGAGGTAACACTGCCGGAGCACAGATGGCAGCAGCTCCGAGTGCTGCCGCAGCTGGCGGGGCAGGCCAGCCTCCAGTGCCGCAGCCCAAGTCCCAGGCTAAGCAAACCGTAAGTGGAACTAAAGCGATCTACTTCAACACCTCCCTGCTTGTAATGAGGTTTAAGGCAGGTTTTGGTGCGTTTTGCCGACTGGCCTCGTGTCTGATAACAGCTATCCTTGAATCATGTGACTGATATAAATTCGCGATAGTGCTAAGCCTCCACTTCCTACAATGCCGAACACGTGCGGTGTGTCGGCGTGCGCTGATTTCTCCGAGCTATGATGAGCTCCGCCTGCTCCACCACCCGGTGACGCCGGGGGACGCTGAGATGGAATGCTGGCCCGCTCAGACTTTGTCGGCAGTTGAACACTGCCAGGAATATTTGTGGTCAATGAGGAGCTTATAGGACTTGAACCTAGCTGGGCGCGGAATGCCGACGTCTGCTGGAGTGGAGTGCGCCGGCTGATCATTGTTGGCAGTGGGCGTGCTGCGTTGACTGTCGACCAGATTTTTCAATACACTGCGATCCAGGCTTTGACTGGAAAGTCAGGTTTTGGTAGTGAGTTGTATGCGTCCTTCCGCAAACTAGCTAACCACGTGTGCATGATGCCGGATGTCTAATCGACGCGCCCTACAAGACCAACCCATCACCACCACCACGTCTGAGGGCGAAGATCGTCTGGGTCCGTCGCGCTGACGGCGTCGGTGCGGTCTGCCGGCAGGACATGTCGGCCTGGTACAACCTGTTCGCCGACCTGGACCCGCTAGCCGACCCGGACGCCGTAGGCCACAAGCAGGGCGACGGCGACCGGAACTGCTAGCAGCGTCGCCGTGCTGCGGGCTCGCGACCCGGCGCGGCGGCCCGGGCGGCGGCGCGTGGAGGCCACGCTGCGAGCTCGCGGCCCGGCGCGGCACGGCCCGGCGCAGCGCGGCCCGACGCGGCGCGGCGCCGCGGCAGGCCGGCGGCTGCGGCGGCCGCCGGTCGTGGTCGCCGCTCTGCGCCGTGACGCCGCTGGCACGTGGCGGCGTCGACAGGCACGTGACGGCTGTCCGGATACCGTAAACGTACAGGCGGGCGGTTGTGATTTGTTTTGCGCCTATATCCTTTGTCGCTGCTCCGCTTTCTTTATTATGTTCTTTGTTGGCGTCTGTGACTGTGAGTGGTCCGAAAAATCCAGGCGTGTTTGGGAGCTCTATTTAACGGCCGTGCTGTTCGGCCTCGGTGCGAGTTGTTAATTTTGTGTGTGGCGAGGGTACATTTATACATTGTGGAGGGCTATCATGGTGTGCATCTATTTTGAAATTTTGTGTCGTCGCGGTTGGTTTCTGGCGCCCAGCGAGCGCTGCTGAACGCTCGTGTCCTCTCTCATATGCCATAAACTGCACGATGTCGCTTGCGTTTTCTCGCCTAGACGGCGGGTGGGATCTCATCTCGTAACTGAATGATCGTCTGGGAATTCTGGGCGGCCAGGTAGTGCCTGCGTCCAGGCCGTTTTCTTTGCTTTACGAAGCAGCGCCGGAAGTGCTCTGCGACGGTATTGCGGCCGAGCCCACGGTATGTGATTAAGGCCCCACCACATTTCCTCCTGGGCTGCGGCTGCATCTCCTCGATCTGGATTAATATACCATTATGTTGCGGGGAGGGGCGTAAGTGACGGGCTCTGGGAACTAATGTTTTATATTCTGCATGAAACTTTACGGATAATCCGCTAATTCTGTTTCACGCATGACATCAATTTGCAGACAATGCTCACTTTTGCCTGGATATTGAGTTGGCACGCTCAGACGACCCGAGCGGTTGGCAGGCAGGACGTGGCTAGGGACTTAACGCAGGGCTCTACCCTCCAGCCGTCCGCGCAGCTGTGGGCGGGGGACGGGGCCGTCCCCGGCCCATCGACGGACGGGCCTGCGTCCAGTCGCCGTATCACACCATCGCGTGTGGAGGGAGCGGCATACCGGCGCGGAGTGAAGCCGGCACCTCAGAGGCCACTCGGGGCGCCTGCCACAGGCACAACCCGGACTCCATTCGGGCGTGTGGCCGGCAGGCGGGCTGGGTAGCGCCGGTAACAGCCGCGCGCGCTGCCTTTTGGAGGTTGCGCAGAGATAGCGAAATACCCCAAACGTCTTCAGCCGCGTGCCAATAGCCATGCTCGGACACGTCTGACGCCCCTACCCATACATGCTTTCACCCACTTTCAACATTTGCGCAGCGCAGTCAGACAATATTGATCAGAAGAGATCTCAAGGGTATCATGGCGTGGTAACGTTTATCAAAAGAGGTCTCGCGAGTATCATCTTCTATCTACTATTATGCTAAAGAAACAATGTCATGTATTTGTCCGCCACCAAGGTTTGATATGCACAAGCTAAACGGTAAGGTATTTTAATGAAATTTTCATTCGACCGTGAGCTGCTGGCGGAGCGCGGCAGTGTCACGTCAAATTTCTGCATTTGCCGTAAATGACCGCGTGGTGAGCAAAATACGTCGCAAAGTTTCCATAGGTTTAACAACGGCGACACAGTTTTCGTGACTGCCGGAAGACGGCATGACCCGGGTCCATTCCCTGAGTCATAGAATCGAATGGGCCATCGGATGGTATCAAATTGATGGTGCCGCGCCGCACGTGGCCCGTGCACACTCGCGCACGCAAAATGTCTTGCTCCTGACGAGCTT